CTTAATTTGCATAATCAATGAGAAAATTTTATAATTATGTAATGATAACTGCCTGTAATTTCATACTTATGGTATTTGAAAGTTAAGTTGAGGTGAACATCATTAAACATAATTTATTCAAATCAGGACCTCATTTGCATAATTTATTAGGAAATACTAGAATGCCTTGTTTGTTTATATAAGACTGTCTTTTGGTTGAGATTATGATAAAATGATATAATTCATGAAAATTAGGTTCCTATTTCTTAAATCAGGGGGGAATAATCTAATCTATAATTTGTCAGTCATTTGGCGAAGGTATGAGATCGGGGAACTCTAGTTGTGAAATGGTTTAATCTTTAAAGCAAGATTGAGAGACATTTTGTTGACATGAGAGAAGACCATAACTGTTACCGTACAGTGATTCAATCTTTGAATGGCCATCCAGTTTCTCCTGGTTCATGTTAGATTCTTACCCATACTTAACCCTGTTGACAGTGGTGTTTGTAAGGGTTTGATGTTTGTACCTCCCAGGTTTGCCTGGTGGTTGACGGACACCTTGAACGGGAGGTGCTGCTGGAGTACACCCCGCCACCCAGCAAGAAGCAGAAACTGTCCTCCCAGGCTCCCAAGATGCACTGCCTGCTGGGACACTGCACCCAGACTGACCACCCTGTCACAGGAACCTGGAGCACAGGCAACATCATGGTATTCAATGGTAGGCAGTCATAGTTTTCAATGATCTATCCACTGATCTATTTTTTCATTCATTCATGTTTATGCCTTTTTTTTCTTCCACATACATCTTTACTATTTGTTCAATTTTCATTCATTTAATTTGATTTCAGTTTTTCCTGAATCCTCTTCATTCCTCCATTCATTCATGATCATGATATTTTCCCTCTCAGATATCCTTCAGCGTGACCAGGCATTCCAGTTGTACAGCCTGGGTCCGGATGCAGGGTGTCTGAGCCACTGCCGCTGTGCCTGGGAGCTTCAGAGTGTTCCCAGCCTCATCACCAAGGAGTCGCTGCGAGCAGGGATCCGGGCAGACCTGCTAACGGGGCAGAGGAGCCTGAACATCAACCAGATTAAGGTAGGACTGAGGTTTATAACTCAGCCGATCAGAAACTTTTTTTGTAATGGCTAAACATGAATTGGCATGTTTTGACAGGTGGTGGTTATCACTTTCTTCTATATGTGTAACTTTGAATGATGCTTGCATTCTCTGTTCAATGTCATGAACTATAAGCCTGCTTGGAAAACAACTTAGAACAGTGCTACAGAAAGGGTGCAATGACCAGTAAAAGACGGACTACAGTCTTTGTTTTGAACAGAGATGGCATTAGGTGAAAAGGGGTGAAAATTTTTCTGGGTACGCTGACCTCCACTTGTGTTTGATGCCAAGAAATAAGTGAAGATTGGCAACATTTAAAATGGTTTCTCTAGGTCAATGTACTCAAAACTATTGCTGTAATAGTGTGATGTAAACACCAACAAGATTGGTCTATAACCCATTGTAACCCCAAAGGTATTCATATAAAGAACCAACCCTCCAAAAGCAAACTAGCCAGGAGTCATATTTGAATGCTAAAGCAGGCTAACAGCTAAAATTTTCTGCAATCACAAACATTAACAGAAATAAAGACACTGTTATCATATAACTAGCTGCAATGTTGAACTTTCATACACTTAACCTTGAATGGCTCTCCAAATTTAAAGTGACCAGTAAGTGTTAGTCAGTTGGCAACAGTAACATGTCGAGAAAATATGTGCTGTCACAGTTCAAGCACAAGTGTCACATTTTGGACCTCCCAGTTTCACCCATGATCTCATTGTCTGTGACTCTTTGCTGTGTGAGGTCAATATCAGAACTGCCTGGCATTTCCTCACTATTTTGAAATGATTCGTTCTGCATTTCAAGAGCCGTGAATTGCACGTATGTGACCATGTGCAACACCAGCTGCATGCAACATGAGCTGGTGTAGAAATTTTTTCTCAAACCACGTCAGCCACAGCCAAGTTTGAGTACCATACTTGCCAACTGAGAGGCCATGAGGAATTTTACCATACAAACACATGAATGCACGAACAAAAATAGTTCCCAGCCTGTGAATGTACAATGTACCTCACACCAGCTGTGTGTAAAAGCTACATATAGAATAGCATCTTGGGTGGGAATTTCTTTGGCTGAAGCAGGAAGTATAGACTTTCGTGGTAAGCTGGTACATGTAGCTGGTACAAAGGGGAACAAGGGCCAGTCTGTTCCTTCACACAGCCTTCTGTTGGTAATTAAACATTTATATAATTTTGTCAACATTATAGTGGACTATTGCACTGTTCATGAGACAAGCAATCATTTTAGAAAGTACAATATTGTCTGCAAGTGCTTGGCTTTTCTTAGAACAGGTCTAATTAAGTGTATTATCTAAGTGCAAAATTGTCAAGTGTCTCAAGCAGTTGTCAAGACTCTTTGATGCAGATATCCAATTCATTGTATTTACCCTGTCCTGTAGGAAAATCTTGTTGCTGTGTATAGTCCAAAGGCCCCAGCCACCTTCAACTACTACAGCAGCACGGCACCCCCCACCCGCTCCCTCACCAACCTCCTCACCAAGGACCCTCCGTCAAGAAAGACCAGCCTGGACCCCTTGATGGAGACTCCTGCAGCTTTACCTGTTACTGCAGTAACAGAGCTGCAGACTCAGGTGTGAAACAAATTCATCATTTTCCAAGGAAGGATTTAGGTTGGCATCCTCCAAACCATGTGGACATTCATGGCAAGAATGGTCATTCTGAAATAAAATATTACTCCTCGCTTAAGCTTGTTTGAGCGGTTGTGGAAATTAGTTGTGAATAATAATGGAAATTAGTTGTAAAGTTATTACTTGATGTAATTCTAGTTTATTATACTCACCTTTCAGTCAGGTATGAATTCAGCTGTTACAACATGACATTTTTGAAAAGCAATAAACCAATTTTTCTTTCACACTCAGGTACACAGGGGTCTGCAGAATGCTGTGCATGAGGTGGGAGGAGTCGGAGTATTCCTCTTCCTCTATGCCAAGGTCAGTTTTCAGGGCTTTTCTTCTTATTTGACTTTTGACATAAATTTTTGAAACAGACACCAGTTACACATTGTAGCATGATACTAATTTGAAGTCCCCTGCCCCAGGTTGTGGAGCTGAGTGAGGATGAAGAGACCCAGGCACAGGCCCTCCATCTCCTGTTCCTGGTACAGCAGCACAACCAACGTCTGGCCAAGGAGTTCTCTGACATGGATGGGTGTCACCTGCTTGGGAGGGTGCTGCTGAAGGACAGGTGTAAAGTGGGCTTTCACACTCTAAAGGTGAGGAAAGTCTTCCTTCTGAAATATGAAAACTTTTCTACTAACTTAAAAGTAGACCACCTCTGATCTTACCCAGTTTTGGCACCCGTTACAATCTGCTGTTCATCGCCCTGCCGTTGAACCTGTCATATTTGCTGCAACTCTTGTTTCAACCCACCTCCTCAGGTCTTGCTTGATGCTTGCTGTGACAGCAGCGTCATGGAGGTCTCGGCTAATGACACTTACAGCATCAGTCCGGAGTCTGATGCTATAATCCAAGACACCACGGTGGTGTCTGAGCTGCTGCTGGCCTGGAGGATCTGGCAGAATGCTGACGTGACTGTGTGGCAGGCACTTCTCACAGTGCTGGAGACCCTCATCAGGGACAACCACCCGCACCAGATGTTCAACATCAGGCAGCTGCTGTCCATCAACATCGTGCACAAACTGCTGCAGACCCGCCAGGTAGGTTCTTCTCATCAACATTGTAACAAGTTTCTGCAGAGCAGATAGAGAGAGCCTTGCTAGGAAAAGGTTTTTAAATACCACATCCTGATAGGTTTCTATATCTTACTTTTTTTTTTCAAAAACTTGTAAAAGGAGAATCAATATCATTGTTGTTACATAATTTGTAATACAGTGTGCATCCAGTTGATCACCATTTATCAATCCTTTCCAGGAGCATCAAAGTGAAGACCTCCCTTCCCTCCCCCCTGCCATCTGCCAGTCCTTTGTGTCTATAGTGCAGTGCACCCTGGGATGCCCTCCTGATCTGAACCTGCTCACCGCAGTGTGTGACTTTCTTCTGGCGGTGCATCCGGCCATCAACACATTCGTCTGCCATGCTCCATCAAGCTTCTACTTCACTCTCCACTCAGGTTGGGCAGAATTCCTTAATATGCTAAGTCCAGCAGCATTTACATGTATAACTCTTCCTGGTGATTATATGCATAGAATGCTATTTATAATGACAAGAAATCCTAAATACATATGAGAGAAAGTATGTTGCGTTGGCATAGGTTTTTACTTTTCCACTGTGTTTTCCCCCAGGAACTCACCAGCAGTACATGCAGAAGTTGTTCCGGTCCCAGTCAGTGCTAGTGACAGGACAGGAGCGACCCTCGGCTGACCCCCTGTCCAGCAGCACCCCTCTACGTGCCCTGGACAAGATCAAGAGGAACTCTCTCCACCAGGACATCATCCCTGAGGAGCAGACAGTCACATCTGACTCAGACTCTGGACGCAAAGGTTTGGCTTTAAATTTGCCTTTTTTCTCATAGAAGAAAGTTTGTTGAATACAACAACTGTTACAAGTCAAGCATGATATTATGTAAAAAGGGGTAGACTTGTGTTTTGTGTAATGCTGACATCTAACCCTGTTCTTCATCTCGCCTTATTATAGCCTACTCTGCTCAGCCAGCCACATTGAAGAGGACTGGCATCATTCGCAGCTTGAGCATGCCCAACTCACCTGCAGTGGTCAGGCGACGGATCAGGAAGAGGCTGTCCTTTGAAGAAGGGGGTGTCAGCAAGGCAGCCAGGTCAGACTCAGACAGCTCAGACAGCAGCGGCAGGGGAACACAGGAGCTGGCCAACGGGATCATGTTCACACTCAGCTCTGACATTGCCGATGGACACCTTCGCGTGGGGAACTCACAGGATGACAGGAGCAGACATACGTATGTCTCCTTTCCACTTGGCAGCTACGACAAGGATGAGAAGATCAGCACGGAGGGATCAAACGTTTTGGAAAGCGGGGTGGACATTGACACAGAGAACACGAGTAACGAGCCGGCTCTCTCGACTGTCGTGTCAAGACAGAGCACGCCGTCTGACCAGGACTCCAACCCTGAGGCTGACCAGGCCATGCAGGATGCCCTTAACGAACTTCCCTCTGGAGAGATAATATCTGATGAAGATGATCGGAGAAGTAGAAGTATCTCTGAGTCATCTTCAGGCTCGCTAGACGAGTGGGAGAACCTCCCCCACCCGAACTCGCCGCTGTCCCTGGCCCTGAACGCAGCGCTGCAGGACAGTGGACAGGAGAGCAGGCAGGTGCAGCAGGAGGACGGGGTGGCCATGGTGTGCACCGGGCTGCTCAACCTCATGTGTGGCGTGTTCGTCACCCTGCCTGACGCTATGTTGGACCAGGTGATGGGAAACATCCTGAAGCCGGAGACGCTGGTGGTGCTGGCTCATCACCACTCCTCCAGCATCAGGACCGCCATCATCAAGGTCAGGGGCCTATTGAAGTGAAATAAATCCAGTTTTAGCTTCCCAGAACATGGGAGACAGACAGTATATTCACCCTTCTCTATTCATTTCAAAGTGCCAGCCAGAGGGAAATTCCACTTACATTGTAGCTCTTTCCCACAAGTACAGTTAATGTTGAAACATGGTTTTCTGGACCAGAAGTAACAAATATCCATGTCTCGAACATACAGTCAGTTGTTAAATCAATCAATCAACACAAAGATCAGACACCCAATTAATTGCTTGTACTTCTGTTCCAGTTGCTGGGGATCTACTTCCAGAGGGCCAAAGAAGAGCAGTTCAATGCCTTCATGAAAGTGCGGGGCTTCTTCCTTCTGGCCAATCAGGTATGCTTAGAACATAAACATTACTTTATGAGTAATGTGATTTGTGACCTGGAATGTGCTTTGAGAATTTGGTCCTTATTTCCAGCATCTTGCTATTTTGTGTGGAGTATGCTGTAAAAATTTCCCACATTGACTAATTATTCATGATCACTCAGCTTTAATCGCATCTGGTGTACTAATCTGTTCTTATCATTTACTTTTTTCTAGCTGCATCAGCACAGTGCCACACGGGAACTGGTGGAGGCCTGCCTGTCTGTCATTGTGGGGAAACCTGTGGGGCTGGATGAAGAGTAAGTTATGTCAACATTCGATTACAACAGAACAGGATGGATGAGAAAAATAGGAGTTAAAAAGACAAAAGCAAACCTCTAGTGTAACTAAATGTTTTTATTTAACATAATCCTTCAGGTTATTCTGAGTGATCACAATATGACCTTACTTCACAGGATATTGATGTGGATTAACTCATAGTGAAACTTTTGTTTCATTGCAGTATTGATGTGAGCTGTGTACAGCATATGACAGGACTACAGCAGCACACGGTGGTGCCACTGCTTGCCCTGCTGGAGAACTGCATCCATGACACGGCAGTCTGCCACAACACGCTCTGCGTGCTCATCCAGCTGTTTGAGAGCAGCGAAGTCATGGCAGCCATCATGATGGAGAATGGACTAGTCTGGGCGCTCTGTAACGTCATCTCTGCCATGAACAGCCCACAGATAAGGTCAGGGCAAAATACACAGAAATTTCATGGGATACAAGATTTTTGTCAATGTCCTTAAGGCTTAGTTTGTATTTAGCATGATTGCGTCAGCTGTACAAGGTAGTTTTGTTGGCACATCAGGTGTGATAAAGTGATGCGTGAAGGACTCAGCTGTAGCATTATTATTATATAGACTGGTTTATTTCGAAAGGAACATACATAACAACATACATATAAGTTGCTAATTGCAGCCCGCAGGCTGAATTGGGCAGCTTTTACAATGGGATATCACTCACACTCACTCACTGTCCGGTTTATCGGTAGAATATACAAGTATACAGGTAGAATATATTTTTAAATATATTCTACCTGTACATAACTTAAGCATAAGCATAAGCATCAAATATTGCACTAGATTATTGCACTTTTATGTTAAAATTACGGCGTTACAAGATCGGTTACAAATTACATGATATAGCTAAAAACTATTACAACTAACATAAGATAAAACACTATTACAACATATACAGCTATTATAAAAAATAATCTACTATAAGTCCAAGGTGTTCAATATGTGCAACATTGAGGGAACCGGGCTACGTAGATATCTTTGTGTCCCTTTGGGTGGTTTGCCTAAGCTGCATATTGTGTGGGTGGTTACTGTCTGCAGGTAGCCAAGGGGCGTGCCTAGACCTTGTAGCTGAAAGGGCAAAGGCCCGGCACAGGTTAAGTCTGCGCTCCGACAGACGTTGGAGGTCAAGAGTTAACAAGGCAGCGGAATACGAATGATAGCTTCTACCCAGCATGATTCTGCATTATTGGAACCAGCCACAGGGATAGTGATAATGAATCTGTAAGAGATACAACTGAATCAGATTTGGTGTTTACACTAATCTGTGGCATCACATCTGTTGTACATGGTCACAGTGATGCTGCTCGTAATGTTTACACTTATCTGATTTTGTACACTTCTTGCACAGCCTGCCCCGGGATGACCTGCTGCTGCTGGTAGGGGATGTGCAGCACTTCCTGGCCTGTGTGGTGGTGCGAGCCTGCAGCATGACCGGTGTGCAGAACTTCCAGGTGCTGGAGGACATGGTGACGCTGCTGGGCAGGGTGGAGGACATGGAGAGGGACAGGCAGCCCGAGGGTCAGTACTTCAGGCAATCACGAGACCTTTACCTTGGGCTACATAAACTTGACTTCATCTTTTGACTCTATATCTGGACAAATTTCAGTAAACCCTAATTTTTCTAATACACATGAGATTTGTTGTCTGATGTAGAATTTTTTAAATCAGTAAGGCTTAGCTCATTTTGTGACAAAATGCACATTTCTGACAATGTTCAGTGGCTGTAGGAAGTACTGACAGTGACATCTTGATTTGTTACTTGCTTGCTCTCATAAAAACTCACTCTGAATGGCAGGCCTCAAGAGTTGAATGAAGTATCTATTCTGCATTTCCAGGTTCCCAGTCAGTGGCAGTGGAGAGGGTGCGGAACATTCAGTACCACCTCCTGCAGGCTGTTCTCAGCTACATAGAGGGCGCTTTTAACGACACCCTGGATGAGACGCTGGTCAGCATTTCTCTCCCACAAGTAACAACAACCGAGCCTAACAACAGAGAACAGATGGGCAGGAGGCAGAGCTATCCACCAGGTAAAGTATAGTCTGCACTGCCTGTACTTGGGACAGCTTGTTTGTCTTTCTTCTCCATTACTATAATATGACTACAGTGTTGTGCTAAGACTGGAATTATTTAATTCCTCTGTTTTTTGCAGCTTTTGCAATGAAGACATCCAAATGTTAATGCTGTATTTTCTTAATCATCCCTGATATAAGTTATTGCAAATAAGCAGTTGTCAGTTTATTTCACAGAAATGAGATGCCAAAACAAAGAAGACAGTTACTGCTACAGTAATAGATGATTTTTGATGATGGAATGTCCTGTATGTACTGTCCTCCAGGTTATGGTGACATCCAATCCCCTCCCCTGTCTCCAACAAATTCCCTGTCTCCTCCCGTCGCCTTCCCCCCACTCTACTCCCTGGAGAACAATGACAGCATGAACCTGTCTGAGTCAGGCAGCCTGCCGTCTGGCCTGCGCCAGGGGGAGGGAAAGTGTCTTAGCCTGGACAGCAAGCGTAGATACTCCGCCCAATCAGAGACAATGGTTTTGTCCTTGAAGAGGAGGTCATCGTTGGCGGAGACGCCTGTGCTCCATGGCCGGGAGGGAAGCACGGTAACGGAGGGGGAGATTGTGCAGAGGATCCAAAGGGTGTGTGTGCTGGCAGTCAACCTGCTGTCCTTCTCAGGCAAGGATTCTTTTTTTATATATATATATGACATCTGCATTCAATTGATGCTACTCTGACATTTTTATAATAATTGTGTTGATGACTTTTCCACAGATCCAGGCCGAAAGGGGAGGGATTCCGTACATCGGGTGGAATTTCTCGAGCCCATGACCTCTGAGCTGTCCACCATGCTGACCTCGGAGCGGGAGTTCACGCGGTCACTGTTCCAGCTGATGCTGCGCGGCGTGGCCTCCACCCTGGAGAGCAGCCGTGGGGCGTCACGCCGGCGCTGGCATCGCATTATGTGGTCGTCTCGGGACTGCATGCGCGTGCAGCTGGGGCGACTCATGGTCCACATGATGGGCCCACGGCAGCCCCTGGAGCAGAGGGTCTACGCACTGAAGGTCGTCCATGAACCAAACAGCAAACAGATCCTCAACACTGTTCTACACACCAATCTGTCTGTAAGTATGGGATGACACTTTTATGATAATAAATATCAGAAAGCCAACATTTGCAAGGTAATGAAATGATCACCTTGAGTATAAATGAGCTATTCCAGATTTATTGTAAAATTTATAACTACCAGTATTTCCCAGTGGCCAGTGGTTAATTTGTCTGTTTGCAAAATCATCAAGCAAAAACTTGGTCCTTAGGTATCTTTTGCAATATTGCAGAATGTTCAATAAATCATTGTTATGTGTATGTATGGTCCCTGGTGCTGTATGTGTGATAACATCTTGCCTGATATTCCAGCATGGCCAGAAGGTGGTGGTGTACTTGTACTACCTGCTGTTCTACCATAAGGACCAGTTGAATGAGAAGGAGAGAACAGATGGGAAGACCCTGATGCGGCTGCTGGACCAGATCAACTTCCAGCCCATCCCACTGGGCGAGCTCAGCCCTGAGACACTGCATAGTATTGACGAGGTGTGGAAAACTTTTTGTAAACTGAGGAACCTTGTAACTAAAACTTCAATCCAACTTGTTGATAATCAAGACTTACATGTACCCTTAATGTGATGACAGGCAAAACATTTTTAAAGAGATATTCCAAATTCTAATTGAAGATTAAATCCATAGATCACCATCACAACTTCTTAACTTTAGTTGCAATGCATATTAAGTGCCTTGTATCTCTTTCTCCTCTTGTGTCTCTGTGTTTCCTTTGTCAAAAATTAGTTTGGTTTATTGCAGGATCAGAAGTCCTGGGACAAAGATGAGATAAGTGCAAAAACCTCGTGGAGAAAAAGAAGAATCACCATCCAAAACAAGTAAGCACTTTCTTACTACCTTAAAAGCATTGTATGTATATATAGACACATTTTTGGGATACAACTAGTTTTGTATTAGGTCATTACCGTAATTTCGTAATTTACTTTTCTGTAGTTTCATTCCCAGGGTGATCTACATGTCCCTTCCTGTTTCCGCAATCTCAGGTTGATAAAGAGCACAGGAGAGCTTGCGAAGCAGATCTCGGGGTTTGCAATGGAGGTGACGCAGGCAGTTGTCCTGTCTCAGAACATGGAGAGGAAGAAGCTGCTGGAGCACATGAAGGAGAGCATGACACAGGACCTGAGTGTGCGCCGTGCCTGGCACGCTCTCATACAGCAGCTCACACATGAAAGGTCACTTACACACATTTCTTGTAGTTCATAGAAAGCCACACAAAAAAAGATATCAAGGATTGATGATAACCTCTTAAGACGCAAAAACAAATTTGACAGTAAATTGAATTTTTATTCATTTTGCAATGTTTATGCCACAACTCATCTTTTACAGTTTTGTGACATTTTCTACTATCTCATTTTGCACAGTGTAATTCAATGTTGGGTTTGTCCTCCAGGGCAGTGTGGTTCAACCCTGAGTCCCAGCCTTCCTCCTGGCAGCTGGATCCCACCGAGGGCCCCTGTCGAGTCCGGCAGAGACTGCAGCGCTGTCATCTCAACCTCAGCAACAAATACTTCCTGCCTGAAGCTCAGAGAACTGAAGGTCTGTTAAACTAAGGATATTGTTTGAGAGATATGACCCTCATCACTTGAAGTTTGGAAAGACTTCTGAAAATCTAGTTATCAACTTGAAGCCTTGCATCTAAGCCTTACAGCTAAGTACCATATCCAGGTCATAATACATTGTATTGGAAGCATACACATGTAGAATCAGGTTGAGATAATCAATAGTAGGACTAGTCTATGTCATTAGAAAGCCCTTTCCTCACATGTGGTTTCTTACCTGTTGCAGGTGACAGGGAGCCCAGTCAGCAGCTGTCCTATCTGTTTGAAGACTCCAACCAATCAGACGACTCCACTACTCTTAGACACAGACTGCACACTAACGAGGCAATCAGGTATGAGGGAAATATGGATTTCATTTTAGTTGCAACTCGTTTCACATTGTATTCATTTAACATTGTATTCAACTAAAAGGTATATAAGTTTGTGTAATACATTGAAATAGTATAGTGATTACTTGTCTTGCCTCTGGATTATATGTATATGGGTGTTTAATTTTAGTCCAACATTTTTTAAACCTGCTTTGTAATGTCAATTTTTGTTATCTATTGACATATTTTTACTCATATCTCAGATACACCCACCGCTGCACGAATGTTACTCCTTCCAATGAGGCAACCGGAGAAATCCTGATTGGGGAGAACAGCGTGTACTTTGTTGGTGATGAGCCCATCTTGGATCTCAACAGCACACAGGTGTGTATTTTCAATCAATCAATATTTTAATCAACTAATCAAATTCCTTATTCATCAACAGACGTCAGCGAAATTGACAACATTTCATAACATTTGTCAGGTCAGCAATTCCTGAAGAAACATTTCAGATTAGAAATGGTGTAATCAATGCAAAGTTGGTGCTGTCAAAAGGTTACTTCATTAGGGAGAAGGTTTAAACCTACAACAGCTGTAATGTCCTGGTGTGCCTCCTCCAGTTCCTGCAGGGTGACCGAGAAGTCCTGTCCATGTCCTGGCTGTATGAGGACATTAAGGAGGTTCACAAGCGCTGGTACCAGCTGAGGGACAACGCCCTGGAGATCTTCCTCACCACTGGCAGGACCCTGCTGCTCGCCTTCGAAACACAAAAGGTCAGTTTCTCTGTTTGTGTCACAAAACACACCAGCCCTGTGATTAGAGTACAGGGTGTGTAACAGACTGATTTGCTTCAGCTATTACGTGGCAGAGTTCATATCTTCCCTTGGTGTGTGTGGCATATTCTTTACTTCTCCTTGAAGACAAATGTTGATTGGATTGGGCTTAACAGGAATGCAAAACCATATGCTTTCTTGATTTCTCCAATTGAAGCAACTCCTTCTGAACACCATGTACTGGTAGCCAGAAGTGAACACTAGCATACAGTAGATTAACATGATTATGTAGGTTCATTATGTCATGAATGCCCCCCCCCCATGCAGGACAGAGACATGGTCTGCCGACAGGTGCTTGCCATGGACCTGCCCAATCTGGTTGCCTACGACAACCTGCAGGCCATCACACAGATGTGGAAGATTGGACAGATGACAAACTTTGAGTACCTGACCCATCTGAACAAACACTCGGGACGATCCTTCAATGATCTGATGCAGTACCCAGTCTTCCCCTTTGTGCTGGGGGACTACACCAGCGATACTATCAACCTCACCAACCCAAAGGTCTACAGGTGTGTTTCAACATTTCCTGCTGTGGTTAAACCCATTGTGTTATGAGAGATCGATATGTTTAACAATTCTAGCAAGGGAGAAACTTTTGTAACTGTTGAGAGTGTTATCTCTCAATAACATCACATGTAAATGTAATTATAACTTTGAAGGGTATAGTTATAGTAGAAGAAAGAAAGCTTTTGGAAATTTGAAATTATTGTGCTTGCTGCTGTAATGAAGAAATTCTTTTCCCTTTGTGTAGGGAACTGGCAAAGCCTATTGCAGTGCAAGACAAGAGTAGGGAACAGAGATACATTGACAACTATGAGGTAAGTAGACTGCTCAGAATAAACGCAATACCGGTATTCCAAACACTTGATCATACCAGTAGCTGTTCAGTTGCCATACATAGAGGTGCTTGCGTGTTATGACATTTGTGGTATGTTCACCCATGGTGCAGTGGTTGAGGATGGAGCATGAGAAGGGTGGAGATGTTGATGACCCCATGCCACCGGTGGAGCCGTACCACTACGGTTCTCACTACTCCAACAGCGGCACTGTTCTCCACTTCCTGGTCAGACTGCCTCCCTTCACCACCATGTTCCTCAACTACCAAGGTTAGCAAAAACAGCTTCTGTTCCCTCTCTCAATCATCTCAAAGTTGGAAAAACAATGGGAATTTGGAATTTGTAACAAACCTTTGAGATAGGAAATACTTAATCTGGCCAATGAGACTGGTTCTGTGGCTGTCCTTGGTGCTGATTTGCCAATCAGACTGGTTCTGTAACTGTCCTTGGTGCTGATTGGCCAATCAGACTAGTTTTTCCCTGTGGTAAAAATCAAGAAACTGTAATATTGAGTGACGCATGCTCTGTTGAATGATACTTGAGACATGAATTCACATTCAGTTAGGGTGCCTTTAACATAGTAGTTTTTAAAACAACTTCCTAGCTCAATTACAAACATTTATTAGAAAGCTTGGCTTAGTATAAATCTAATGAAATGAAATTGAAATTTTCTTTTCCAGACCGTAACTTTGACATCCCAGACAGAACCTTTCACTCCCTGCTCACCACCTGGAGGCTGTCCTCCTTTGAGTCCACCACGGATGTGAAGGAGCTCATCCCTGAGTTCTTCTTCCTGCCAGAGTTCCTCCTTAACTCTGAAGGTAAGAGGCATTGTCCCAGTCTGGGGCTCATGAAAACTGCAAAAGACATGTAAAGAGGATCCAGCACAGTATTGTGTAAATTTGTAATGGTTACAGTGCTACACGTAGCAGATGTAACCTGTTTTGTCATACCTTCAAGTTTCATGAGAGCTTAGTTTAATTTACCAAACACTGTTTAGTTTTCCAAATGCCTGATTGAGTAAAGCAAATATGCTCACATGTACATTTGTAAGTCCTGTATTCATTGACTGATCAAGAAGCTGGTCAGGAATGTAATGCTGGTGGATTTATGAGTACTGATAAAAGTACAGAAAACCAAATGTCTCTGTTCTCCTCCCACCAGGTTTCAACTTCGGCCACCGCCAGTCTGGACACCTAGTGAATGATGTGGCCCTCCCCCCCTGGGCACAGTCCGACTCCCGCCTGTTTGTCCTGATCCACCGCCAGGCACTGGAGTCAGACCTGGTCTCCATGGCGATCCACGCCTGGATCGACCTAGTGTTCGGCTTTAAGCAGAAGGGAAAGGCAGCTGTGGAGGCCATCAACGTCTTCCACCCATCTGTAAGTCTTCTTCAGTTGGTTTCATCATCGCACAAGACTAAATAACCGGCTGTTGGGGCTTGGGAATGTTGAAATCTTCTAGATGTAGGTGACAGTTCTTGACATTGTACTGTATGTCAATTAGTTACAATAAATATTGTTCTTCTGATGTTGTGCATTCTTCTCTCAGACATATTTTGGGATTGACACCTCCACCATCGAGGACAAGGTACAGAGAAGGGCCACGGAGACGATGATCAAGACGTACGGACAGACTCCTCGGCAGCTTTTCAAGAGTCCCCACCCCCCCAGGCAGCAGGTCAGCGGCAGCTCAGAGGCTGATGTGGCAGGGATGGTGGGAGCAGCTGGCTTCCTCTTTAACTTCAAAGACAACAAGGATACTGTGGTGGACATCAAATCAGTCAGGGTAAGGATGGAGGGATGAAACTCTGATGCCATCACAATGGCACTTTGTGTATCATGCAATATCTACATGATGTATATATCTCTCAGTGACATTCAGAAAAACTTAAACCCTGACTGTACTTCCAAAGATTGTTATTTAATGACCAACATGTGTATGCTGATTGTTCTGATTTCTGTCACACAGAGCCCACTGCCGCAGGTTGAAGGCCTGAAGTGGGGAAACTACGTGGGCTCTCCCGTGTGTCCGGCGCCTGCAGTGAGCTGGAGACAGGACCACGGGGCGGTGGTGTCGTCCCTGGTGGGGCTGCCGACAGGCGAGGTGTGCGGGCTGGCCCCCAACTTCTGTCTCCTGGTCATGTACAGCAAGGAGAAAGGTATGCTCCTCAATTCTTTTGTATTAATGAGTTATTTGTTACAACAAGATTGATATCATTTTATGTAAGACCAAAACTTGTGAAACAGTGAAAAGCATAACACTATAGATTGCTCTGTTGTTACTTATTTTCTCTGAAAAACAAATGGAAGTTAGAGTGATAGAAATATTAAACATTAAAACAATATAAGGAAAATCCTTGTTTGTTGACAGAGTTTTGTGTTCTAATGCAGGTGTGAGTGCCATGAACCACACAGACATCCTGTGGTCGGCCATCCTGAGCTGGGGACATCCTGATGGCATCATGAGACTGAAGAGCCGACAGAGCGAGCCTGCCTCCAACTTCTTCCTCTGCCCTCCCAACGACCAGGTAACAGACTGCAGTCAGTATTGTTTATAGTGTATTGAGTTCCTAGAGGTTAAAATTGGGGAGGAGAAACCCTAACCAATGCTAGAAATGTGAAACCTTACCAAACTTTAAAAGTGAAGCATATGCATACTACTGCTCCCTTCCAGGTGACCTGTTGTGCATCTGTAACTGACTGCCGACTGCTCTTTACTGGAGGAACGTCTGGTGTCGTGACTGCCTACCCCACCAGATTCACTGGAAACAAGGTATATTTTCCATTACAGGGTTATTGTCGTAGAGAAAAAATTTAACCACATGTTGGGTTCAGTTCCCACTGCTGCTGTAGCTGTTGAATGGGATATTTACATATTATCACAACCTCTAAATATCTGAGGTACGGTTTGGAACCAGTCATTTTAAACACTATCTCAGCTTACTCACCTGATGTTCCATCCTTAAAACTTAGAGCATACTTAAGGTACAATATCATCTTAAATATTTCTTACACTGATTGAAGATAAGACAGGGGAAGATTCCTTGATTGGTTTCCGTGTAATTGTCCTATTCCATCCCTGCAGCCATCAGAGTTTGAGATAGTTGGCAGCAGAGTGTGCCTGTACGGTCACACAGGGCCAGTCAGCTGTCTGCAGGTGTGCCGACCCTACAGTATCATGGTCAGCGGCAGTCAGGACGGCACAGCTATCATCTGGGATATCAACAGGTCAGGCTTACTTTGTTTTCTAACTTGGGCATGGAGCAGCTTGGAGTATCAATCTCAACAGACTACTATACAGATTTAATGGCTCTAACAATAGAAAGTTTACCCATATGTGTGGTATTTGACCTGTATTAAACGTAAGATGATCCAAATTCAAATTGGTGAATTATTTTTTGTTCCCGAAATGTCAAACACTAAGGATTGAAGCTGCTGACTATTTGCATCTTACAGATTGTCAGTTATGTCTGATGTTTATCTTTTAGGTACAATGGTAATATCAAACACTGATGATTAGAGTTGTTTCTATGTCTTGCAGATTGTCCTATGTGCAGTCTCTGAATGGCCATGAGGGTGGTGTGACTGCCGTGGCAGTGAGTGAGACATCAGGTGACATCGCCACCGTGTGCCACCCCTCTGCCACCACCAGTGAGCTGAGCTTGTGGACAATCAACGCCCGACCGGTGGGGTCAGTCCGGTGCCCGTCCTCCATCCACTGTGTGACATTCTCCAATGCCCCAGAGGGGATTTCTGTGAATGTGGTGGCAGCCGGTCTGCAGGATGGATCAGTCAGGTAAACTTAAAATCCTTTAAAATCCTTGATGTGTGTCTCTCAAGCTTCACAACCTTTAGTACTAGTACATAATATATTACATCCCCACAAAATACATGTTAATTGTAAGTTGAATTTCAAAGAATAACATCTTGTACAATGTATATACAAGTATTTAAGTCTTGCTTAATAAAAACATTACCAGCTTTGTAATGCTATGGTGTATTCCAGGCTGTGGAGTACATGGGACCTGAGCCTTGTGAGGGACATCACACTGGAACAGTTCAGCAAACCTATCATCAGGTAAATCAACTTCAAAAAACGTCTTTGCCGTCACCTGTATAGGTCATATACTGTACATCGTTTGTATCAGGGATGATCAAACAAGGGATGATTGGGATCTGGAACTTGGAATATAACATGGTCTTCCATTGTCGCCCACAGCTTAACATTTACCCATGATGCTCAGCACCTGTACGTCTCCACAATCGATGGGACAGTATTTGCTTTGTGCAAGAAGGACCAGACAAAGAACAAGCGACCCCTGTTCATCCCCTTTTTGAGCTGATCAGAGACGACAAAGTTGACTTCTCAAGAACAGACATGGCATCTTTCACTTCAGCAGATTCTCTTCTGACCACTTCTGAGCTTCAAGGTCAGCAACGTACCTTAACCTACAAGTGAATTTGGTACAGTGTGGTGCAGACAAGGGACACTAAATTTTACTGCATTGTATTGTTTTTCAACCTCCTTGGTGGAACCTACCCGTTCTCCAGTATATTGACCAGGTTTTGTGTACGGTTGTCAGGGGCAACATGGTTGATGTCGCCTTGTAGGGATGCTCCAATGTGAGGACAAAGAGGAGAGAAACCCACTGCATGTGGTAACAATGTTACTGATGACCATGCAGTATAATTATACATTATTTTAGCTGTACAAGCTTCAGAAGTAATAAAAGGTATCCTAGAGCTTGTTTATTACAAAATACAATGTTCTGTGATGTCCTTCATGTAGTAAGAAGTTACAGGAGATGAGGCCACATCAGTTTGATCTTGCCTTGAAGATTAATAATTTGTTCACTGCCATTTATTAAATTTATTCTGTAAGGAAGATATCATTACTATATAGTACTGTTTATTCTTTTGCTCCCAAATAATGATTTGTGTTGTTGCTAAGATACGTTCCAGCTGCGAAAATCTATAGCATGCATTTTTATAAGTGCCTTTGCAATTTTTGTGCTTTGTTTCAATACAATGTACCCGGTTCGTATTGCTTAAGTCATGTATCTGAGATTATGTTTCTAAGATGTTATTGGTAGCTACTGCAATGTATATTGTTATATGTGAGAAGACTTACTTGTGGAAGCAGTGAAAGGAAAAATAAAACACTGCTGCACTTAGAAATTGATATGAATTGTAAAAGGCACTCATTATGGCAGCTTTTTATGTACTACTCAAAACAGAAGGAATTCTGATTAAGTGCCAGTATTCAAAATTATGTTAACATTTTTTTGTGATTTCATATGTTGATGCTACTCATATGCAGTAAAGGCTTCATCATAATGGCTAATATATTTAAGTAGGAATTGTACCCATCCTTATTGTATTTTCAGAATGTTATATGGTACGTGTATGTTCAACGATGGGACCACCATTTGTGCTTGTCCTAGTAAGAAGTGAGCAATAACATGGTTACGCTTTTATTTGTGTGGAAGAAGGAAGGACTGAAATGGTACCAACCAAAAGTGACAAATTATCTTTAATATCAATTGCTTCTATTAACTGTGCAATATTTGTATATGATGATCAAGAGAAGCCAAAGACAGTGTTACTGACCAACGGATGATTCTGCTATCACTTGGCAAGAACGAGACATTAAACATGCCATGCTGTATGTATATACCTATATATATATATACATGAGCCAAACTATGCCTTTCCAATAACACTGGATGTAAATCAACAGGTAGTAGAATGTCTATTTTCATATGAATTGAGCAGCAGCATCCCTCCTATGAGGCTCTAGTATGCGTCAGTGCTACTCCAAGTTGTCCTGTACATACCATGTCAATACCTTGTACATATATATACTAAGTACATGTATATTGCTTCAAATTCAATAAAGCATAATCTCAAAACCTCTTATTGTTACTCTTCATTGTCAAAAATAGCTTTCCATATGTAACTTCCAGCCTTCTTGCTAGTACCAACCAAATATGAAATGAAAATTTTGTCTTGACGAAAATTTCATAATATTATATTAAATGAATGGAAAAAAAAATAAAGCAATTTTAGATCTCTAAGTCAGTTATCATTCCAAATTCCCAGCATGCCCCTAAATGTATGCAGTCTTCACTGGAACTCCAGTGTGTAGAACCCTGCAGGTTCTGTGGGTGTTCTGGAGCCTTTGGGCGGGGCCCGTTGCCTGGTGATGGAGAAGAACTTGAACCTGTCGCCCATCTTGTCTGGGTTGGTCAGCATGTCATAGCCTGACAACAGGTCTTTCCTCTGGGATTCATCAACATTTCTCTGTAAAACCTGGCAGAAATTCAACTTATTCATTTACCGGTACTAGTATTCCCATCTGACATATTTATTTCAAACATGCTCCTGGCTACTGCTCCTAAAACATTTTAATGAAACCTTTAGCCATAAGACTTCCTTTCGTAGTAAATCTACACTAATCCCTTAACTCCCATTTATTCCTCTTGCAATCAGCATCACTGAAAAACAAAGCTATTTGCACAAGTTCTGTGTCATTGCCACATGTTTAAAAGTTTTTAATCAAGTTTAGAAAACTGCAGTAACACTGCCCTACCTGTAATCTCAGCTCAATTCCCATATTTTCCAGAAATTCCCTTTGCGTTATAGGACCATATGTTACAACTGGGAATGAAAAATAAGGTGCTGAGTGAGAATCGGTGTCATGAATGCAAACACACCATGATTGTTCTAATAAAATTTGCAATATTCATATTCTGCAGAGGATCATCAACTCCAAAAATTTTGACTACCAGTAGATTTTTTTTACATAGATAATATAATCATATTTTTTGTCAACCCCTCTTATTTTGTAACACTGGGTCTTCATAGTCTTTTCTTTCTCTCCAGAAATTTTTTTTGCAACTTTAAGCCATTACCCTTCTTTGCCTTTCCTAACCTGTTTCACACTTGAGAATGTTGCAGATGATGAGATAAACAGAAGGTAAGTTGACATACCTTTTTCCTTGCATGCACACATGTGTCTGAGGTAGGAGAAGTCCACATCAGCCGTCAGGTCGGCACTGCCTGGCTCCTGAAGAACCTCGTGTAACTGGTGGTTCCTGAAACCCTGGTGGATGTAGGTGTGCACATGTCATTTTTTTTAACTAGTCATTTGATTTATTTGACCAAAATTAAAAATAAAAATTTCATGTGCTCAAACATGAGATAACAATTGTTAACCACTCAAGTTTTGGGTACAGTCACAAAATCATGAAAAAGGCAGTTTTTAATTTAGTATTTTGATTGTGTTTAAGAGTAATTTCTAAACGCAAGTGGCTTTGAGAAATGCAAGTAGATTTTAAGAGGACTCTTGAGTGAAGGCAACATGTAACTAATCAGACCTACTTGTGAACATAAGAAGGTCCTACCCTGAGTGTGTCTGTCTTCGTGCCATCATGTCCGTAGTCTGCCAGCAGTGCTGCCCCTCCGTGCTCAGCTATTCTGTCTGCCAGGTGTTGCACCAGCACACCTGCCTGAGGACACACCTCCAGGTGGTCCCTCTTCTCACCTGCCTGCACAATAACACACCTGCAGGTCATTAACTTTAGCCGTGTTTAAGTGAAATCACCCAAACCGCGATTCGGGTAACTCACATTCCTCACATCTGGTGAAACCGTGTCCGATTACAATTCGCTTGAGCTACATTTATTGCTGTTTGATGATAATCTTATTAATATTAGAGGTCAACGACCTGCTTGCTGATGCCCCCCTCCCAGCGTATCTCGGCCAAATGCCGACGTGGTCCCGCCAGAGGTGGTGAAGCTCGCCCTAGAATGGACCCATTATTTGACCATTACTGCTCTTTAAGTTGCTGCCACGTAAAAGTTGGTATTGCATATAAATAAAGAAATACCAACCCGTAATCCATGACCAGGCGAAGTTACAATGAAATCACATTGTGTTCAGACGCAAATCGCGATGCGGGAAAACCGATTCGAAACCACCTCTAGAAGTGGCTTGGGATCAAGGCGCTTTCAATGTGATTTCGGAGCGTTCACATGGAGCCACTTGAAACCGGCTTCGGGGTAAACCACATGTAAACCGCCTTGGGTGATTTCACTTAAACACGACCTTTGTCATGGAGGATATGTCTCAACTCTACTAAGTCATTAGTATAAAAACATTTTTAATTATCTTTCTTTTTAAGTAGGCCTTGGCCCAATAAAAAGCCACCAAAATTTTAGATTGTGTACTGTGGAACTGTGCCTTAGCTGATGTTTTCACTCTCCAAGTGCTTTTCCTAGTTTACCCTAGGTGCACCTGGCTCACCTGTATGAATCCTTTAGAGGCAGCTGTTGGACTTGGAGACAAGACGAACCTTAGGTGATGAGGACTAGGATGGACAAATAAGAGGGAACATGAAGACTTCTCACTGCTATGTTTGTCCTTGGCAAAAAAGGACAAAAAAGAAAGTGACACACTTAGTACTAATTAGAGGTGTATCATGATTGTTTCCAAGATTCAAGAACTCCAGTGGAGTAAAACTTACTGTCAATACAAGTACTGTAGATAGTTCCCAATTCAAAGCCACTGAAAGAACACTGAAAGGCAGTAATAACAGTTGTACAATACAGACATAGCCTTACCCTTCTCCATCATCCACATCCACTAAGACCTCCCTCCATCCCTGAGGAGTTCTCTGGGAACAGTTTATATTACATCAATGTTATATTAAATAATACATTGTGGAGGTACAATGTATGTACAACTGAGCTGTACTATGCAGTACAGAGTGGCAACTAGATGAGTATCTTTTCTCATGTTCATTGTCCTCTGTGATTTTATTTTTAACACCAACATGCCATTTCCTAAAAGAACTGAAAATCAGAATTCTAATTAGTGCAGGAAAAGGAAATGAAAACTTCCACATACTTGGAACTTGTGGACAGGTAGTGCATCTAAGAATTCATGAGCAATGTAGCAGGAAAATCCTGGAAGGAAAGAAAACAAAGCTTACCATCGTTTGTACAGGAGTTTTGAATGTCTCAGAACAGTAGCTCCTCTTCTACTTCCATCCAATAATTATTATTTTATCTTCTTCCTCTACACTGAACTTGACTATAAGCATTCAGTCAATTTGCTAAAATGATAATCAACAATGGATAATTTTTTTGACACCTCCACTTCTAAACTCACCCTGTGGTACATCGTGGATATCGCTGTACCATGACATCGGTACTCCTGCCTTTGTCTTCCTCTTTTTGTACACAGCGTCTCCTCCACTAGCAGCATTATCCCTGTTGTCTTCCTTGATGACACCTGTCAATCTTTCCTCCTGCATAGCAGCCATTTTGGGGCTGACCTCTACCAGGTGCAAGGACACAACACCTTGCATCATAGGAAACTGCTGGAAAACCTAGAGAGGAGGAAAGGAGTTGTGAGCCTGCCCAACAATCTGAGAATTTGGGCAAGAAAAAGTAAATAGAGAAATGTTGCACCTGTTTGTTATCCATACTGCTGTACATGAGATAAACAAATCAGACATACCCTGAGCATGTCCTGCGCCAGTGTGCCCCTGCCTGGTCCCAGTTCCACCACCTGCATGGACCGGGGTGAACCACCCAGCATCCATTCATTCACACACCAGACACCTAGCAGCTGGAACATTTGAAAATAGACCTGTCATATCAGTCACGATCTAAACTTATCACTTTCTGTATTACTTCTCTCACTGAAATAGTCTTTTGGTCTTACAAGATGGTGTTTCTAGTTTCATGGTCGAGAAGAATCAATACTTCTACTTCTATGTAAAGAAAGAAAGAAAACAGTGTACATTGGATTCAGATCTCACCTCGCCAAACATCTGACTGATCTCAGGAGACGTGATGAAATCCCCCTGTGTTCCAAACACATCCTTGTGCATGTAATAACCCTGGATCAAACAAACAGTTCTGAATTTCTGTTCAGGCCATGTTGATTTGATTATATGGATGACATCCGCGCGTGCATGAATTTTCGGCCATTTCCAAAAAAAAAAAGTTTTCAACCATACTGTAAATCGTACAAAACAGTTGCAAAATGAGCAAAAATATACCATAAGTTACAAAAAAAAATTAATAAAAACTATACCAATGTCGTAGAATGCCAAAATCAAACGAAAAAAGACGAAATTGTAAAGAAATGAACTTGAAGACTAGATTATTCGCCAAACCATATTCTGCCCTCATGACCATGTAGATTTCATAATGAAAAGAACTTTTTTTTTTGCAAAACTTTTTTTTTATTCGCTCGCGCGCATCAGTTTTGGGGCTCCCGGAGGATGTCATCCATATGATCAAATCAACATGGCCTCAGTATAAAACACAAGTTCTGAGGCATTAAACAGACATACAAAGAAAAACATGATAAGGATTGGCAGGATTAACAAATCTTTTTGTACTATTGACACTTAAATTTGACAGAATGATCCTGTCAATGGCCATGACGATTTAACTTACACTATACACATATATCAATTAATACTGCTAAAATCAATGTACAGAAAGGTGTCTTGTGGGTGTGCCATATCGTGTCATGTGGAATTAAAGCCCCTTACAGCTGCAGGGTTGGTGAGCACGTCCCGCATGTAGTCAGCTACAGTGATTGGTCCTGTGGCCTTCAGTTTAGATCTCAGCTGCTTCAGCAGTTCTGTCTCACCCGATTTCTGATGGAGGCCACGGAGAAACTGACCTGTGCAGAGAAAGAAATCTAGTTACCAGTAGCAACGTTAGTTTCATAGTTTTTACTCTCAATACCAGTCTCTGGTCAGCGTATTGTGTATAACGTTAGATTTGTAACGTTCAATTTCCATACTTCTCAGAAGACAGTCAACATGACATGTCCGGTACGGTTTGTCAACATACAGGCTACAGCACGTGGGTTTTTAGCGGTGGTGCCCCTCCCCCTCATAATTGCATCCTGTCACTTCCACAAAGATTAACATATTATGTTGTTTTATTACCTGAGTTCACAGCTGTTCGGACCTTCAAGAATGTCCGCAGTAGCCTCATTATTGTCGTGAAGCGCTCCGCTGCTATGCCAAACGGCAAAACTTCCGAGCTTACTCGAGTCGAAAATGTTTGGGTCACCCGCGCTATTATGACCTTTGGCCTCAGAACAATGGCTTCACATTCGCAGACGCGTATTCGGCACACTTTCAATGGGCCAAAAATAGGCTAATAGTCTTAATTTATGGAAATAGCAGCTAATTTTTTACAAGCGGTGTATCGTATCTATAATGTGAGGTTGTGAGCTGCTGAATCTTGAAAAGCTTTAAGAATATAGTCCTGCAATAGCCTCGTTTAAATGAAACAATTAATCATCAAATTAATCTTGTATTATCTTCAATAATTGTCTGCTTTAATAGTAAATTCAAATTTGACAAGAGATGGGTTTCTTGTGTGCATAATTTTACTTTGTTCTCACAGAGCAGGTTGACATTGGGAACATGATGCACGTACATTGTACTAGTAATGTTATCCACAAAAAGCTAGATAAGGTAATTGATGCTGATGTTATTCAATACTTTTTGGATTAAAATGTAATGTTACAAATTTATGAGTATGAAGGGGAAAAAAGAACAAATATTGGCTGGGCAATATGGTTGCTGGTTTCAAAATTACATAGTTTACCAGTAATTCTCTGCAATTAGACCTTTAGTGTCCACACGGTTCACAAGACAGAGGCTGAGGGTACAATTGACACAAGGTTACAAGTAACAGTGAGACAAGCACACCCTTTTGCCCTTTCAGAGCTGAATTTTTATTCATTGTGACACATCAAGAGAAAGCTTTAAATGATACAGCGAGAATTCTGGTGTCCAGCTTAGTTCTATACATACAGGTGGAAGTTTCTGGTGTATCCAGCAATGCCAGCCTATTCCTTACTGCAGACTGCCACCTTCATCCAACAACTCAAATCACTTTTTCACTTCTCCATCTCCACCAAACTTAGGTCTACCAGATATATTGCTAGCCTAACTTTAAGCCATCTTCTCATCATCCAAATCCTCTTGCTTCAAGTATTGCAGCATCAGTCACAAATTGACTCACAATACATGTACATTTGTACCATGAAAACGTACAATACTGGTCCTAGGCACTAGCACAAAACTGAAATTATTGAATGTGGGTCCCTCATCGAGTGCATAGTGTTTATAAATACAACAAGAAAGGGGCACATTTAGCATAGGGCAAGAAAAGCTTGTTATGATGAATTCTACAAAACTGCAGCAATTTGCTATTGGTAAACAACACAACAAAATAAGGTTATACCCAGTTGTGTACACAGCAATTAAGTGAAAAAACTTACAAGAAAATTACCCAGCAAAGGCAGACAAACATCTGTCAGATTAATCCCTCTACTGCATTGTTACACTATCACAGAGACAGGTATTTTGGTTCTATGATTGTACGGGCTGGTCTCTGACCTTTCAGCTCCATCTTAGAACAGATTCTGTTTTTTTTCCAAAACCTTAAGTTCACAAGCATTCTATTTTGTCTTTTTTAAAAATCTAAACTTCTTTTTGGGGGGGAGGAGGGGTCTCTCTCTGGAAGATTTTAAATCCATACATGCTAAAAGATTTCAGTGCGAATGCTAAAAGAACATTTCATCCAAATTTTATTTCCTAATTGCGTTCATAGCAGTATTGTAACATTACACGTTTCTTTTTTCAATTGTTTCAAGGTATCAGCAATGGGGAGACTTTGCCTAGTCTAAATAATTTGTGGCTAGATAGCAAAAACACAATTGCAAAGCGAGCAATACCATCTGACAAAATTTGCATATTCTTCATGGTTCCCTATCTTTAATTGAGGATTTCATTCCATTACTCATGTATAATTAAACCAAAACTGACTAAAAAGCACTCTGAGAAGAGAGGGGACAAATATGTGTTTAAAGAAATGTTGCTTTCTCTCTATTCCCTGTCTTTCAGGCTCTTGGTAGGCATGTCGCTGAGGTAGATTCCCAGCGTGATGCCGAGGGAGCCGAGCACAATCAGCGACAGGAGGAGCCGCTCTGCACGGAACCAGTCGGGGTAACCCTTCAGCCGATAGACATCAGTCCACATGGTGCCTGCAAAACCCAACATGCACACCATCACCGAGGTACCAGGCAGGACCAGTAAGGCACCCCATGCTGCTACACTGGGCACCACACTGATGGACAGGTTGAGCCAATCAGGTGGCGGGCCTTCTTCACTCAGGGTGATCCCCCATCGGATGCCCCCCAGGAAGGACAGGATGGACGCTCCGCAGGCCGCGTGGGTGAACACAATCTCCGGGATGTAGCACTGCTGGAACAGCATGTAGGTTGGGAGCAGTGCAAATGGGACGGCGCCAGCCAAACCCAGGTACAGAGCGGCAGTTGGGGCATCCTTAAGGTAGCCAAGGATCTGTTTTACTGACTCCGGCTCTTTTGGAACTGCCTCTGCTGCCTGGTTCATGAGACGGCAGGGCTGCAGGGAGGCTAGTGTGGGCGTGGGCTTGCTCCTGGGGTTGTTGCCGGGAGGACAGGTGCTCAGCCCACGTGCCCACTGGGTCAGGAGGGAGGCGGGTCGGCTGGCCAGTTGCTGAGGCTGACACCTGGCCAGTTGCAGCCCTCTACATGGCACCTGTCAAGGGAGGAGACATTATCGGTGAGCTTGAGATCAAAAACATGACTCCAATTTCAAGATGGATGTGTGGCAGCAATCATGATGGTATCTTATGAACAATGAAAGATTTTGCAGTGTCAGTCATTACTTCCATTAGAAACAAAATTTTTTAATACCTACCTGTGAGACTACCCTGGGGACTGCTCCCCGGAGGAGATTAAAACATCGACCTAGATGAGACATCCTGGCACAGTTCAGTCAGCTGTCAGTCTGGAATCGCCCTCTGCACCTGCACAGAGGAATAGATAAATAAAATACAGTATTACGCATTACCAAAACCGCCCATCCGAATCGGAGGTCGAATAACAGGCTACTTTCCTGTACCTGGCAGTCGGCCACACGTTGTTGTTGTTTTGGGTTTGGGCATAAAGGTCAGAAAGGTCAATGCTTTGGGTTTCTTTGGGGGAGGGCTAAGACGACATGCCACCCACGAACATAAAATGAATATGGAGAATCTGAAGATAAACTGACCTTTTTGGAACCTCAAAAGAGATGCATATTTCTGCCAGGCTGTTCTTGTGGCGTGCACGATGTTGGAGAACTCGCCACCATTCACGTTGTAACAGCGACAAAAGATTATTCTACTGACAAGGCAAAGGACCCGCCTGTTTACCCAGATAACTTAATTATACACGGCAAACTAGGCTCTATCTTCTGTTAAAAGACAGCCCCCTCCTCTCCCTTAATATGTTACCTTGACACTGATTCTCGTGTTTCAGCGTACGTGCACTGCATGCAGAACTTGAATTAAGACAAAAAACTTTCAGCAATTGTACACACATCATGCAATCCCAAGTAGAATGACTACCTTCAGATTATGCATGATCATGACCCTAACAACATTATGACCTTATACTGGTCGTAAACTTTGGTACGTTTTGTCGAGACACAACATTGCGACTTAATCATGGCGTCTGCACGTCTGCAGCCACCGTGGATTTGTTTACCATCTGTCCTACCTCTCTGACAAACCCCTTCTCCTTTCCGACGTAGAACGTCAGCTAACAAAAAAGACGTCTGGAATCGGTCCTTTCAACAGAACCCACCGGCACAGTTCCTCAAGACGCCCCGCGGAGAGGAGACGCTTACGTGACTGGCTTGGCGGAGCAGCCCTGCACGGAGCTACGTGATCTGGCGCTGCTGGGTAATGGCAGCTCTGCGATCCAGGCGCTGAAGTCAGGGTCACTGACTCCCTGTGTGCGGGGTCACAAAAATCCGGATTTAATTGTCTGAGACCCTGGATTGTTCAAATAAGAACGGTGCAATAGAAGAATCCTTTGTGGGAATTTTGGAGCGAACGATAAATGGAGTAACTGTACCATTCAATGACAGGTAATCTTCAAGCAGATGTTGGGGGACGGGACTATCGTGGATAACGCAAGGTTTCTAGCTGTTAAAACTGACGCGCGCGCAACCCTTTGCGATAAAGATAAAACGGACCTGCAAAAAATGTAAACATTTTTCATCTGAATTGCAAGAGATCAAAGGTGTTATACTGAAGAGTTTGCAAGAGGCTAAAATTAAAGGTTTTGAACTTGGAGGTTTAACCTTCTTGGTTAAACTGAAAAGTTTGCAAGGATTAAACTCAGAGAAACTGAAATATGCGCAAATGAGAATCCCTTTTTTCGTCCTATTTGTCACTATTCATGAGAGAGAGTTACGTGTTGGGCCAAGTCTGGTGTATAATGAAGTTGCCCATCCACTTGTCCACCTGTTATTGTGCACCCTACTGCACATTCCCATACGCCCAACTGATGATCAGCTTCAGTGCACATTAACTGTAGACTTCCCAAAGATGTCCAGCAGTGGAAAATGGTAGCAATAAAAACAGCAACCAACAATAAAGAGGGGGGCAAGAAACGCATACCGGAGATTATTATATAAAGCGCTGGTAATAACATAGTCATTGCGGATGGCTGATCATAAGTTTCACTTCATTTCCCAATATCAAACAAGAGTTCCACGATCTCATACCTTCGCCAAATGGTGTTAACTCTTGCGGGTGACAAAATATACAATTTTAATCATTTATTTTGTAAATAAGAGCCTCATTTGCATGGATTATATCAGTTGATCATATTCTCCATCCAATGACAGCCTTATCATAACAAAAAGGCTATTATAGCACTTCCTTATAAATTATGCAAATGAGGTCATGATTTGAATAAATTATGTTTATTGCTCTTCACTTCACTCCAAATGTGGCAAGTATGAAATTGGGTGTCTCAAAAAAGACAAGCTTGAGGGACTCTTTGCTTTATTAAATTGACCATCATACTCTGTGAGCTATCCTAGTTAGCTTTCCGCGGCACCCAGAAAATACCACCAAGAGCCTGTTATCCAGGTTATTTCATGTCCCAGTCTTCGGTTCAGAAGTCGACCTTGAGAGCGTTCGACACACAGTAAATTGAAGGAGCCCTGCACCGTTAACGTTCTATTCATGGCGACTTCTGGACCGTGACTGTTCTGTGGACCGTGGCCCTGTAGTGTTGGGACCAGACCTGTAGCGTTATTTAGGTCAAGGCTTGTGCACGACAGGATGCGGTGTCTGTACCATGACGTAGACTAATGTAAACATTATATATGTTCAGATGAGTAGATCATATTTCTGTGGTGGTAACGAGACTCAGGTTTGCCATAAAATCTCAAGCCTGGGCTGCCAGGAGGTGTAAATTCTCTTGAAACCCTTTCTCCCGCAGCAATACGTAATACTAATAGCAAGGCTATTACGTATTGCCGCACTAGAGGGGCTCTGGCGTGGAAGAACGTGAAAACGGGACACAAAACGTTACACTCCTCCCTCCCGACATCTGCTTGGCGGATCACCGTTCGTGTACATCGTCAGTCTCCTCACGTACACTCACGACTACGTTGGTCGTGTGGAGACAGCAGGCGTCCTGTTTACTTTGCCGAAATACCCCGACCTTGTGACTTCACTCAGCCATACTGGAACAACTCGGACTTGGCCCAAAACAGATGTGAGGATGAGATATACATTTCATGCGTAACTATTAAAAGATCACTATAAACGGGGAAGCGTGTACCATCGATATTGAGAAGGACATCAAAGGTTATCCTGTCTAGTTAATTCAATCATAAAAACCCAAACCCCAACCTACCTAGCAAATACCATAAAGATACATGCACCACATGACAGGTGTTGAACTATGCAATGGGGGTGTACTACTTTTGCTACTTAAACTATTATCGTGTTTTATCAGTAGAAAATTTATCACGTCTGTCTTTCTGTCATAAAGCTAAACCTAAAAAATCTTAGCCATATAGACCCCTTGCTGTGTGGCCTTGTCCTAGTGTAACTATCGTGTCAATTATCGTCCCACGGCCGTCAATCACCGCTCCGTGGCGCAGAGTGTGTAGGACGGCGGTGCCAGGGTGATGCCGACCTCGCCTCTCATGTCGGGTGCAGCAGCGTCATCTGGCAGTCGATAGGCGAATCGTTGCAGAAGGGAGGTGAAAAACAGAAATAGCTCTGCCCTTGAGAGCTGCTCTCCGGGGCAGCTCCGTGCGCCTATGGAGAAAAGTAAATATCATATATGGAAGACTGCTTCTGATTGTATTACCTTTGGAAATGGAAGTGAGGAGAAGCAGCGCATGTACCAGAAATATTTGGAACGGTCGATTTCACGAATGGAGGCAAGAACTTGGTGGCGGTTGGATGGCGTACGGTATCACGGTCATTTAGCCTAGGTGTACAGTTTTGGCTGTTTTATGCATTTGCTAGCTAGTACGTTTTATGGTTGCCTTGTCAAACACTTGCGTCAGGCAAAAACAATCGTGATACCCAAGGCGTACAAAGAGCAGCTAATAAAGCCATACATCTGCCTAAAGTTTCTAGTTGCTCTTGCTCTTAACCTACCCGTAGAGAAGGGCAGGTACGGCTTGACTGACTTCAGTTGCCCCTGGTCGTCCAGGAACCTGGCGGGGTCGAACTTCTCGGGATGAGTCCAGTTGGCCGGGTCCATGTGGATGGACCACAGGTTCACCAGGATGTAGGTGTTGGCGGGAATGTCGAACCTGCAACGGATGTGGCGAAATGTGCATAAATAGTTAGGTTCGTGAGGCCGTGTAATTCACATAAGGTAGTGACTTACAAACACGAGAGCCCCTTAAGACGAAGCGCTTAGCCATATATACTTAGTTCTTGGTTAGCATACGTGAGTGCATTAGTTCATATGTCTATCGTATCCGCGGCCTTGGCTCTGTCGGACATCCAAGTAGATGTATGGCTCCTTGAATGCTTTTTTAGTTGTCTAGTACATTTTACGTACGTACCCCTGCAGGGTGGCGGGGAAGGTGTTCTCGTGTGGAACTGCAAACGGGATGGGGGTTCGGATCCGCATGGTCTCCAGGAGAGTGGCCTCGGTGTACGGCATGTGGGTCCTGTCGCTGAGGGACGGCCAGCGATCTCGTCCGATCACCCTGTCAATCTCCTCATACACCTTCTTCTGGACCTGTTGAGAAAATTCATTCCACCTTGTAATAATTATTGGGAGATCAAATAAATTTGTTCATGTTCTGAGCTGCTAGTATCTAAAGCGGTCGAACTGATGACTCTCAAGTGGCCTTAAGTTTGTGATACAGTGCCTGTATGTATACACGTTTGGCGTATGTGTAGCAGATGACCCTGAAGCTTACTCACGTCGTCATGAACCATGACCCAGAGGAGGGCCCATTGCAGAGTGGAGGCCACGGACTCGGACCCAGCAGTGAACAGGTCGCTCAGGAGGTTCCAGACGTTTCCCCCGGAGAACAGACCCCTGTTCTCGTCGCTGCTCATCTCGTACAGAAAGGCGTCGACGGCATCGCGGAGGTTGTGCTGGTCGAAAGTCGTCCTGTGCTCAGAGACAATCTCCTTGATGAAACGGTGCTGCCCGTCTCCGACCACGTCCTTCCACTCCTTGTAGTTCCTGCCCAAGATCGGCAGGTGGCGCACCACAGGGAAGATGTCGATGATCTGGCATGACTGGAAGAGCTGGAGGATGCGGTCCAGCATTTGCATCTGGCGGTGAAATTTAGGGTCATCGTACTCAAATCGCCTGTTGGAACAAAAAAGGAGTCTTAGGAACATGGTAGAAAACAGTAAGCAAAAGCACAGGGTCTACTTTATAGATGCTTAGAGATGAAGTACGACTCGCCTGTTGAAGCTGATGGCACAGATGATGTTAGACACGGCGTAGTGCAGCAGCCGGTGGATGTCGAACGACTGACCCTGTAGCGACAAACTTCTCATCAATATCTTAATTAGCAGACGTGTTTTGCATTGTGCTATATCATGCATATTGTATTGAATAGTCTTTATTTAGAGCTCTGACCTTGACCTCCAAGTAGATCTGGGGAGGAGGGTAAGTAAAATATTCTCTGGCTGCCTCGTTTTCTGCCTGAAAACCAATTTAGATTATTCTGACCTCTTAGGTCTAGGTTTTTAGGAATGAGGTGTTTTAAATTTTATATACAGATGTGAGTACTATGAGACGAATACGATGGAAATCAACTATAGTACAAGATCTAGATAAAACATCAAACAATTAGCAAACCTGTTTGTCCGCCACGGCATGGCACAGCTGACGGCACTCGTCTTGGATGTCCTGCTCGAACCTGCCCTTGCCGAGCCCGAAGTTCCGCAGGGCGGACAGCAGGATCTTACGGCGGGCTCGCCACTTCTCCCCGTACTGAGCCATCACGACGGCTGATAGGGACAGAGAGAAAATACAGATTCATCAGATTCTGGGAATTCTGGTGGGAAACCGCAACGTTTCCTAGTTTCCCTCTCATTGACTTATTTTCCTGTCTTAGGTGTGCTGTCTTCAATCAAGTAAGGAGAGAAGCAAGGAGTTTAATAGAGTTGAGATCCTCTTTCTCTACCACGGCCTTGTATGGGTCTTGTGCCGAGTGTTTCTGACTCCTAGTATGCTCATCGTCGTACACTGATTACAGTATTTCATTTCTATGTCACAACATATTTGCTCAATTCTATCTTTTGTGCTATAACCAAGCAGTGGGCGCCGTGTCCTCCAACATTTAATGAAGACATAACAGTTACATGTAATTTTACAAAACCTTTTGTCAGTCAAACACCCGCAAATAATCGCCGCGACATATCAAAGGGATGCTAACCGATAGGGTCGCCGTTCGACAGCAGGGCATTCGTACAATGGATGCAATCTCCGCCATGTAAGGAAACAGATAGCACATCGCGCTGCCTGAGCTCGTAAGTACTGAGGTTGCGCCTAATAAAACATGCGCAACCGTGTATTTCGAATTCGAACCCTTAAATTCCTTTGGCGGAGTTGATAAAGGCTAACCTACCCTCAGGCCCGTTGGTACAGTCCGTGAGGAAGAGGTGGGGTCTACTGGAGAACTGATCGGCTTTCTTCACCAGAGCCTCCCGAATAGTCTCGTAACCGTTGATCACAACTACTTTCCTCAGGCCAATTCTGAAATACAAAGTTTATCTTTAAAACACTTGAGACTTCAAGCATGCCTTTGTTTAGATGAGAAACAAGTACTTCGGGACGTTGACGTGCACGTGGCAACTCCACAAGTCAGTTTCTCAGACCACTTGGGACAGCTGGATCTGAAACTGAACTGTTTGTGTGGTTGACTACATGCTGTTCTCTGCATCAAGAAAGCACACGCAGTAGCTACCAATTGGAAAATCGTCAACAACAATCGGCGCCTGAAACGGGACTAGTGCAGAGCTTTTTGCTTGCTTCCGTGTAAGAAGTCATTATCCAAGTGCATGTTGCCGCAGTGCTATTGTAAGGTAATGACAAGTCTTGAAGACTTGTCATTACCTTACAATAGGTTATAGCAGCATTCCACCGGGTGGCATGTTCTTATCTCTCGTGTTAGTCTCTTTGCCCTGTGTTCCTCTGCTATAATAGCCCACAGAGAGATGCGCGACCGAGTATCTAGTACGCAACCACCTGTGGGGCGTCACAAAGCGAGCAGACACAGGTGTGACCAACCATGCGCGATAAACAAACCCTGCTTCTAAATTTAGAAAGTTTCACAATAGACACAGATTTTAAGCTGAAAGTTCTTAATGTACGTTTGTCAGAAGAACGGAGCTGTCAGCAAACATTACGATCTTCCCTTGTACCATCTTGGAGATCATGACAAATGCTCTGCCGGGAGTCTGCCCATACACACACTTGTGACCACTCAAGTACGTGATTTCTGAGATTACTTACCTTTATACTTGTGATTTAGTCAGCCCGGGAGAACTTAAGTTTCAGCTAAAGATTCCGAAACCTTACCTGATGCTATAGACGTCGCCGTACTGATCTCGCCAAGCCGTAAGCTTCAGGTGGGCGTCCCGGGCCATGCTGGGCAGGTGACCGAGCAGCGGCCAGCCCGGGGGACCTGGCGGCAGTCTCTGCCCCTTCTTCCCGCGGTACGACTGGAGTAGCACATATGAGCCGAAAAATACCACCACGCTGACCAGGACAGTGGTCAGATCTAGCCATTCCGCCATTGTGATAAAGAGGGCCAAACAGCGACCGTCGACTGAGCTGAACTGGTGAAACCCTCTCACACGTACACGTAGTTAGTGCGGAAGTGTGGGTGTGTCTGCCGCTGCCGGCTATTTTAAACCTTCTCAGATAACCCATCTGAACGGGAGGTATTCCGAAATGCAGCGCCGTGTACAGCCCGTCAAACGATGACCCAGTCTACAGCTCGTACAAACGCTGACCCTACCACCGGACATTCACTTTAAGTGGGCCACAGACGTCATGATGACGTCATCAACTTCAACTGACTGACGTGTCGACGTCATACCATAACTACCAGCAGATGTAACCCGCTACTTGCATGTTTCTTGTTATGCGCCTTTCGAGTGGTGCAGGATGATATTTCCAGGAACAAGCTCCCTCCGACACCTATACTCGGACACATTGGTAGTAGTATTGTCTGGGAAGCCTGACGACTTGACACCCTCGTCCTTTGTCATAAATAACAATAATGTACAAAATGCAAGAGAGACAAAGTTCACCGGTCGGCTAAAAATAGATCGACATCAACAAAAGATGTTTTTCTCGCTTAAGCTTGCTGGTAACTTAATCTAACTAACACCCTCCCTGCAGCACACCTCCGCCACGCCAACGGTGGTAGCGCGACCTCGCACCGGAACAATGAGCTAACTCTGGTAGCGTGTCACAGACCTGCCAGGTGGACACAAGTATGACCAAACCTTAAATAACAGACATTTTCGATGTCCATCGGGATGTATTTTTTAGTGATCCGGGCGTCGAACCGTTGTGCCAACAACCGTGCACTCAGTCACAAACGACCTGTGCACCCTGACTTGAATCTAAAGTTAAAACAAACATAGGCGCAGGGTTAGACATGTTTACTTGATCAGGTGATAATCGATCATTGACCCCGTTGGGACTTGTTGACAACATCATCGACCAATCATGCAAGACTTGCACATTGACGTCCATCGGTACTAGTAGTACGGTTTATTTTCACCGTACTTTACGTTTCCACAGTACATTGAAGTTTATTACCTACTCTGATGTAACACTTATCCGCAATGAATGCAAACACACGTATACACACATGACATGTTATTGTACGCGACAACACACATATGCAAGCAAGTGCACACACACACACACACACACACACACACACACACACACACACACACATGCAAGCAAGCGCATATATTTATAAAATACGTGTTATTTAATGTCCAGTTAGAATCACTTGTAGCTAAGCTTATAACATGGAACACTGCTCCTTCTCTTGTCTCCAAGCAGATGAAAGAATCCGGCTCATTCTCCATTCTCATTGCTCCGAGCCTGCTTTCGCAACATTTAGTATACCTTTCTAGTACTGCAATTTTCGGAGGGGGAAATTGTGAAAAACAGTGGCTGAAAATAAGCCGGCACTTAACATCAGCTTGGAGAGTACTTATTCACACCATCCTTCCTGTCATAACACGTGACAGGGCCCTTCCGTATGACAGGTGGTTACGTCATTGTATTGTGCGCAGGTGGCCACACTTCACCTGTCTGAGCCCCTCATTTGCATAGGAACTCTTTGGCATTGTTCCACTAGCCATTCACGGCTGTAACTCCATATATGTAAACAGTTTCGGTAGAACACAGGCTGTTTCCCAGAACCCACGGTACGGTGTTTTACAGTTTATCCTGTATTTCCTGGTGACAGACTTCCGATACTGGAGGAGTCTATCCACTCGGACAGACCTGTTTGTCGCACTCGAAGGTAACGTTACGACAGGCCGTTCACCAAGATGTCCTACTGCCGTTTTAAACTTGGACATGTCGCTGTCAACCTACTGGCTTTGGTTATGGTGTTCTCAGGTAGGTACCCCTGTGCTAATCGTTCGTACGGCAACATTCAGAATGCTGACCGTGACCCCGTCTTCCGAGCTAATTATCCGAGTGGCGCACGTACATGACCAACAACGTGTATTAAGTTAAGGCGACAGCCTGTACCAGTATCTAGCTATAGATTCTAGGGACTATAAAATTTCACTGCCTCTATAAGATTCCATATCTATAAGGTTCCACTGTCTAATGATTATATTTTACTTCGTTCTTGAACATACTGTGAAATTACGAAAATGTGCACCTTTGCCTTACCGAAGAGCATGTCCAGGTACTGGTGGAATCTTCTTGTTTCCAGGGTCCTATATATGTACCAGTCCTTTCCGTTCCACAAATTACCAGTTTGAGTGTACAGTTGTTATAGTGTGTGGACGCCATGACGAATTAATTGCCTCACTGCGACGGGGTTTCAGCGTTCATTTAGTAGTTGGTGGTACAGTGTATGTTGATTGAGATTGCCCTGTTGTTTGCCAGGCCTGAGCGACGCCCAGACCCAGTACTATGGCAGACTGATCGGCACCTTCCCGTCCCCGGGACAAGGCGGTGTGGCTGGGGCCGTGTACGCGGTGGACGCCAGCAGACTGCAGATCGTCGGTTTCTCGTTCGACGGCTCCGTCACAGGTGTGTGTTGTGTTTATTAAGTCTCAAGTACGTCAGACTCTATTACCTCTTACTTTAACAAACTAGAAGGAACAGAGAAGTATTCATAGAACGGTGTCAAAATACTTGAATCAAACTCTTGTAAATGCTAACATTATTACCCCAAGGCAGGCTCCCTAAGGGCATGATAGAACGTCCTTGATTACACGTATATACTTTTGCACATGCAACGTTCCTGTCTGGTGGGTAGCTTGTGTCAGATCAGTACAATCTCGATACAATGACTTGCGTACAACTTTCTTCTGGTGGTACCATTCTTATGTGTTAGGACTTGAATTGTTAATAGGGGCAGGAAATGTCAATGACGTCAACATTCTTTCGGAGGATAAGAATGTGCAGATTCATGTGTGGGCGTGGTTCGTATCAGACACTGGTACAGCCTGGCACACTTTGTTTAACTGTCAAAATGACAAAAAGGTCACATCATCATTTTAATCATTTGCCCATTAGTTGTTATTCTGTGGGAGCCAGAAATACATGTACATGTATTATGATGTAGACATGACGATCTAGATAATTACATGAATGTGCAGAATCATGTGTGGCTACAGTCTGTACTGGTGCAGTCTGACACAATTGGTGAGCAAGGATATCCTCAAGTTGTTTAAGGAGGTTTCTTTTGCCAAAAAAATGTACAAAACAAGCTACATGTATGAGGTGTACAAAACAAGTTCAAAGATGTACAGAAGGAAGCCAAAAGGGTCTCGGGGTGTCACTTATGTCAGAGACTAGCACAGACTGGCACTGCTAGTAACAATGTCTCCTTTGTTAGTGTGGCCTTGCAACAAAAGGATTCTAAATAATAAATGGGCAAGGTAAGCAGGACAAGCTGGTGCATATTGTTACTCAAAGTTGTCATGACTTATCTTTTGTTGAATCCACATGCAGCATGGATTCCCTTTTCTCCACAGTCAACACACCTTTACTAGAGATTCCTGTTGAAGTGAAATGTACAGCTTGATTGACCATGTTTCTGTTTTTCCTTGATCAGCCCAGTTCCGTGCAGGCTCTACAGCCTCCCCTAGTGGCAGTGAAGGTGTGCTAGTGCCTGATGAACAGGGCAGGTGAGTAAAGGTGTTGTACATGTGACGACCTGTGTAACTTTATCAAGGCAGTTTTTCATAGTGAAGTTTATTGAATCTATTGGGTTAAAACTCTCCTGTAAAAGGCAGGGGGTCCACTGTTGAAACTGTTGCACTTGGACTTTAGCAAATTAGTTTGCAATGATGTGACAAGTGTTCCCTTGATAATTTTCTCCACAGCACTGATCCATTGGGTGTGTACAACAACAAGAGGCTGGTTCTGGCTCTCCCCCAAGGAACAACTCTGGATACTGTCAAGTGGTTTTCTGTCTGGGGTCAGAATGTGAGTTTTGCAAAAATATATGGTCCTAATATTTCAACAAAAATAGACAACATTGGTAGACATTATGAAGGATTACTGTTGGCATACAGTATGCAAATAAAACATATTTGTGATTACAGACTACAAATCTAGGAGAACATAATATGAATTAATGTTAATGGTTACTCTGGGTTCGTTTGGTCACATCTTGGAGGACAGATCATGCCTTACGAGATTTAAATTGACTTGAAATGTCTAGTACATGTACTTTTGTTTGAAATTCTGGTCAAACTTGCTTTGAAATTTAGGTCTAATTTGCTTTCAAATTTATGAAATACAGGCCAACCTTGGTCATGTGACTGTCCCAGATAATTTCGTCTACCCCCGTCCACGTTCCATTGGAGAGTTCAGCAGACGACAACATGGTGTCCGCTCAGGGGAAGTCACCATATTAAATGCCAAACAATTCCACATACAAAATCTACACTATGATGGATTGGGACCTGGTAAGTGGTGAATACTGAAAGTGAAGCTTCAGATCATAGGATATGCCTGTCACTTGACACATCCTTCAGATGAAAATAATTGTGTCTCATTTGTTGTGATTTTGGAATGAGGTTTAGCTGTTGTTGCTACAATGATGTCTTTTCCTCTTTCAGATGCATTTTTCTGGGCTGGCAACAGGGACGCTCGTCCCAGCCCCAGAGGGTTCAAGGTGCCTGACCACCGAGGAAGGTACTAAATGTCATTTGTAACCAGGTTACAAAGTTTTAATAAAAATAAAGTATTTTGTCTTTCAGAGACAAGTCAAACTCTTGTACCGGATAAATTACAGAGATTACTTCAGGATGTTTTGAGCGACATCTGTCACTGTTGACACTAATCATGTGTGAAGGAAAAAACATTGTACTTGACCATTTGTCTTTGAATATTGTTGGATGTCTAACCTTCATCAACGTACTAGTATTGTCTTTTGTTGTTTCAGTTTGCCCATCATGTTTTTGAACTCTCACATTAGAATTTGGGTCTTAAAAATATCCACATGAATACAAAGTGTTGTTGTTTTTTCTTTCTTTTACAATTTCTCAGCAATATGACATCCCACTTTGTCCTGTAGTTATGACCAGAGACTACCCCGGTATACTGGCCAGACAATCACCATCATGCTGCCAGGTGACGTGACAGTATATGACATCAAGTGGCTCAGCATGTGGTGCATCCGCTTCACAGCAAACTTCGGTGAAGTGTTCATCCCATCAGACCTTAATGTCCCACCACTAGTGGAAGACATAGAGATCCCTCCTATGGTGAGGACAATTTTAAGCATGTTGATAACTGTTGCCTCCTTCCAGAAAAATTTTCAACAACACTTTTACACTTTTGATTAACCTCTCCCCCTTCTTGTAACTCACATTTTATGCATGTAGTAACAAATTCAGTGCAGGTGACTTGCCGTTTAAGTACGAGGACTGTCCAGGGATACTGTGCAGAGATAGCCGGCTAAGCCTGTATGTCCAGGTAGCTGTGCAGTTTTCTACTGAGGTGGTTTTCCAAATCTTTTAATGCTGGACCAGTGTAAATTGTGCTGGAGGTGTTGTATATACCACCTGAAGGTACTGGAAAAGTGAGAGGATAGACCCATTATTCTGGTGAGTGAAGTTGTGCTTGATGTTAATTTCCTCACCATCTGTAGGCCATGATGAACTGTGAGGAGCTGCATCGTGACATGCAGGTCAGCTGGACCCTGACTGGAGAGATCCTGGGGGTTGAGCTGGCAGGCCGAGTGGAGGACGGAGACTACATGGCATTTGGCATCAGTGGCTGTGACAACCGTGCCTGCATGGTGGGTTCTGACGTGACGGTGGCCTTCTATGATGGGGAAACTCCCCAGGCTGTGGACTACACACTAAAAGCTTACTCTCAGGTAAACTGACAAACTTCTGTTTACCACATGTTCACTTTGCAGGATAGTAGTAAGATTTTCTTTACAAGAAATGTTCAAAAATTTTTATACCAAAATATAAATGTCAACAACCATGTTAGAAAACAAAAGCCTACAGTGAAATCTTATCCACATAGTTGACTACTATTTCTGATAAAGAGTAAATCTGTTCACACACTAGATCATAAGAATTATTTGCATTCCACATTTCACACACATTCTATGACATTGGACTGACATTAAATCCGTCAGGAAAGGAAGGAGTGTCTGATCCTTTCTGAATATGAACCATCAGATGCCATACGCCAAAAAGCAGTTACTCAAGCAACTGCATATGATTTTGGAAACGGTCAGACGTTTCAGCTAGTATCCACTAGCTTTTGTCATTGACTGAGATGCCATCAGATGCCATACCTGTAACGTGTACTATGTATTCATCCTTTGACCCCACAGTGCAGCGGGTCGTCTGGCGTGTGTCCGGACGGTAGAGTGGGCGGGGAAGACAACAACGTCAACATCACTGGCCGACGGGTCAACGGCATCACCAGGATTCGGTACTCTCGTCCAATCAACACGGGCGACACCACAACTGACAAAGTCATTGACCCGTCTCAGAACATGTACATTTCCTGGGCAATCGGTCCAATCAACCCAAGTGGAATTGCCGCCAAACATCACACCAGAGTTGATGGTGAGTATTCCCACTCAATGGGAGACAGTTCAGATGTGGACAGCTGTTACACATGAACTTGAGAGCAATAAACCTTTAGAACACATAACCTTCTAGACAAATAAATAAATGTTTTCTGTGGATTACAGTATCAGATGACGTCCGGCTCATGTTTGGTCGAGAGCCTTCTGACATGTGTGAGATGATCAGCAGTGCAACTCCGGCCCCAGTCACACCTTGGCCAACAAGAAAGATTAAGGGCGATTGGGTCACAAACTTCATTGTACACATTGGACCAACAGGTGGAAGAAGGGGATATGAAGCCATTACAGGTAAGAATGTATCAGATTATAGCATTGAATTCTCATGGACTAAGTTGGAGGGAAAGTACTGTGAAGACATTTGCAGCTAAGTGATCTGATTTCCCTCACAACAATTTTATGTACGATTACTATGAAAAATCACAAAGGAACTTGGGGGAAAGACATTTTTGGTTTGTGTTGCAGGCCTGCCGTCCTGGGGGATTGCCTGGTGGCTGAACGGCCTGCTGATTCCTGAGCTGGAGCTGATGAGGGGTTGGAACTACACCTTCATCGTAGAGGGAGGGGACAACGACACCATTCCTGAACAGTACCACCCCTTCTACATAACAGATGATCCTATTGGCGGCTACACACAGAAAACCGAAGCAGAAAAACAGGTACGACCAATGTTAACTTGGCCTTGTTGCATGTCGTATGAAGATGTTCTTCAGACAAGTCCTATATAAGTCTAGTTGTAGAAAAAACATACAAATACAGCAGCATTTCACCTGAGGAATTCTTTTGTTTTTTGTAGTAACATAAGTAGAATTGAATATTGTAATTTGTATAGATGTCCTCTGTTTTCTGGGATAATATAAAGTATGAGTTTGTTCAAAAGTCTCTTTCAAAAAGTTAACATCTGTTTCCTCCTCAGCGAGTGAAGGTATTTGCTGGTGTTGATGAGAATGGGATGCCAACTGCAGGTAACTCCTTTCTCATCGCTTGTCTTTTCATATTAAGTTTAATTGCTTGCCAGTCATTTCATTAATTTTACGCACAATACAATGATGTTCTATCTGAAATAAACTGGTCCCATACTTTGTTCCATAATGTGAGATAATTGTTTCCCTAACCAATGTTACTGTAAGATGCTATGTCAATTTTTTTTTTACACCTCACTGCTTACACAAAAATGTATGACTGTTACAGCAGGCCGATACTGTGAGTACAACAGCCCGACTGGGGACACGTCGGAGACATCAGAGACATTTGCCGAGTACAAAAGCACATTACAGTTGAACTGCAGACCGGGCGTAGCTGCACAGTTCACCTGGACTCCTGATGAGAACACACCAGATCTGGTGTACTACCATGTGAGTAAACCTCATGTTTTGTCAGAGTATATCTCAGTGGCTAGACCATGTTATAAAATGGCAGACCTTCACAAACAATACTTCACTTTCTTGATGGTTAACTAGTAAGTACCAATACTGATTTATAGTTCGAGGTACCGGTATTATCTGACTGCATGCATCGCTTTTTTTTTTCATCTCTATGGTTTTGATTTGCATTTCTACATTTTGAGCAAGGTGGGTGGGGCTATCAGAGTTCTTAACAATGGTGACTAAGGCTAGACAGCAGGGTAGATAGAGCTAACCTCCAGTCTGGTGCCAACAACTCTCCTCTGTTTCAGTGCTTCACCCACCAGTACCTCGGCTGGAAGATCCGTGTTGTGGATGAGTTCACCTCAGGATCAGCTGGGGTCCATGCTGGCACGCTGGCTGTCATGGGGGCTCTTGTTGCTGGAGCATTGTCTGTGTTATTCAGCCACATTTAGAAGCATGTGTCAGACACATGTATGTACATGCATTTTATTTCTACACTGGGTACAGTGCTTTCATGTGCAATGGTTAAAAAAGGTAAAATACTACTGTCACGCAAGTGTTGACCACTGGTGTTCTTTATATATCTGTGTTCAACAGATATATAAAGCAGCAGAATCTTTTTATAGTTTATATATTTAGCATTTTAGTTTCAGAGAGTAGTTGTGTATGGCTGGTTTATTGGGGCTCCTGTAGGCCTTAACCCCAGTTTTGCTTGCGATGCTTCCAGTACAAGTTAATGCCAATCAAATGTTGTAGAAATAGCTGTATACTAGTATTATATTGGGGCAGTATTAACTGAGTTAAATAATTGTTTTAACTTTAAGATGAATGACAAAATGATTAGTGAGAAGCCTAAATTCTATAGTCTGTTAGAAATGTTAGGAAAAGACTTTCTGAGTGTATATATATGTCTAAGCATATATATATGTAGATGTGAACTTTTGTTAGTGAGTGAATCATTAAACTAAGTAAAGGGGATTTTTAAAAATTGCAGATATACTTGTAGCCTATGAATAGTGGTGTGTATTTTTGTATCTTTTAGGTCACATTAAATCATTGGTCTGAAGATGGCCATTTCAATTTTAAACACTTGATGTGGATTTTATTTTGGATTCTCAATAAGTGTACACTGTAAATTACTTTGATCCTGTGAGAGATTTTTTTACACCAATGTAATTCACATGAATGGGATGCCCTTTATCTTGTATCTGTAGTTTCAATTATCTGAATAGTCACAGTATTTACTAACTAATATAACGGGGGGTGCCCTAATTCCGACCCATCCCTAATACCGAACTAGTTTGAAAAATCCTTGTTGCGGCGTTAATGCATGGGAGCACGTGCCTAAAAATAACCAAATGAATGGACAATATTTTTGTGTTGATATCGGTAATCTCACAAAGTTTGTTTTAGTTTGTACACTCCGACAACAGACGAGTGAAAAATCTGTGTGAATTCGACGCTTGTTCGGGGGTTGACGAGCGTGTCAAAAATGCAGGTTTTGCTTTTCAAACAGCCGCAAGTCAAGTAATCGTAAAAAGAGGACTTGTTTGGGACAGAAAAACAGTTGTAGATTGTTTTAGTCATAATTTGTGTATTATAATTTGTAAACTCTCTTCTCAGATCGACCTGTGTTAAACACTGGGTCGGAATTAGGGCACCCCTGTTGCGATAGAACGTTCCACCGGCAAAATGACAACAAAAAACTGCCGTGCGTTTCACGAACCATTACGCTTGGGTGCAAGGCGCTACACTCAAGTGAAATACACAGCTGTGCAGCTTTAATCATTGTGATCTTTATCTGCCAATA